CCCAGATTTTCAGCCTCTTCAAAATTTTGGTGCGTCTTATACTTCAGTGCATCTTATACTCTGAAAAATACGGTACTCATTTTATGTGTTCATGGCCATGTTATACTTATTGATATCCATCTATTTGTACCAATCTCATGCGAAAATGTCCCTGTCTATATTAATATTTGTTACCTTGTACATGTTGATAAATATATGTGTAGGTTTGTGGTATATGTATGTTTTTTATTTTTGTACTGAACTCAATTAAAATTATATCAAATGAAATGAAATAACATTGCATAAATATAATTTGCCAATACCATCCAAAATCCTTGTGTCACTACAATAGAAATAAATCATTTTTCACAGAAGTTGTTTCTAAACCAGCCATCTCTGATTTCAAGATTCATGTTTTAAGTGGTTTAAGTGTTTTGTGTTTGTCCCTTCAAAATACATACCAAATTTGAAGAACAATTTGATGTGGCAATAAATAAAGTACTCAAAACTAAATTCAGGAAGGTAAAAATAATTTAAGATAATAAAAATAATACTGAAGTGACTTAAATAGAGCAATGATAGAGATACCAGTTAGAACAAATACCAGTAGAATATTTTTTAAAAGCAGAGATATTTTTAACAGAGTGTTTCTTAAGGGAAAATCAAAGAGTTTTTAATGTTAATGTTAATGAATGTGAGATAAGATATATTGAAGGAATATAGTCTCATTTCAGTTATCCAATTTTCAGTTAAATTATCCAATTTGTACATTCAAAATCTGAGTCTAATCTTATTTGTGAGCCAATGAATTTAAAATGGCATGAGAAAATCTAAATCCCTTTTTGAAATATTCTTGTCAAAATCTGACAAAGTACTGGCAAAATTGACATCATCCCCTTCTTTACAAATGCTCTTTACAGGACATCAACATTTCTTGAAGAATTTAAAGGAACTATATGTTAATACTCCAAGGGACCTATATAAACAAATTCCTAGAGCAAAAATTTCAGATATAATCTTTTATAAAATATAACTTACCGTTTTATTTCGTAATCTAATTATGTCAGAGACAGAACCAGCTCCACAGTACTCCATAACAATCCAGAGGTCTGTGTTCTTAAAATAGCTGCCATAGTACTTGACAACAAAAGGACTAAACATAAAAACACGGCTGTCAACATATTGAAGTTAATCTTTAAATATATTAGGAAGCAGTTCAATATTTTTTCTCTGAGCAGTTGCCCCATTTTTAAATGTTGTAAGATGTATTAATCTTCAGAGAACAAAACAAACTTACTGAGCACCTGAGAATGATAAAGCCCTTAACACATATTACTCACCAATTTGTATAAGAGCACGTCTTTTCAAATATTTGTATAAGACAAGAGTAAGGGAAATATTCTCAACTGAAAAGTATCCATATACGCAAGTAAGTGCAATTTGAAAAATAGGTGGGTTTTTTTCTGGAAGATAAAATATGACTACCACTATCCAAAAATCTGTATATTTGTTTAGCAAAGAGAGATCCAATTTCCCCATTAAGATGACCCAAATTATTTTACAAGCTTTTGAGTTTTTACAAAAAAAAAAAAGGTCAGAAAGTAATTCAGAATTTTGCATGAGGTTTGCAAACCAGGCAATATATTGAGTCTACTGACTGAATGCTTCTGCCTATAGCTTCTAGCACAACTGTTGATCAACTGCCCCAAACATCACACTGACACCAAGGAAACCTTATGCACAACACCCTTTGTGGTTTCCAATTTCCAATCAGCAAGGGAGTTCCAGGCGCATGTCTGTCCACAATTCACAATTAACTGACTGTTCAAAATGCTCCCTAAGGTATTTATTGAACTACCAAGTTATCTTGAGTGAGAACACCTGTTTTATATGCAGAGGGCCCTAAGATCATTATTTCAATCTCCAAGTAGAGTTGGGGGGGGGGGCAAAAACAAACCATGCCTGAAGCTCTGCAGAATACCAAATGGTCAGTGTTAACCGTTTCTGTCTAGATAGACCGTAATCCAACTCAACAGAAGTGAGTCCATCACTCATCCATAAAGCTATCAGACAATAAATACTGGATAATGGCAGAATTTAAAGCTTCCAATCTCCTGAACCTAGGAGCTTTCAAGTTAGAGGGAACCTTTTTTTAAATTTTACTATCAAGTTATGTACACCTATTACTATCTCATACTAATACCATGATGACTTCTCAACACTGATAAATGATCATCAACAGCCATCTGATCTAACTCTAAATAAAATGCCTAACTTTAAATAAAAGTACCCTAACATTCTTATCAGAGATATATAGTAGACTTTAAACCTTCTACCTTACAACTGTGTTATTCCTAAGATACCATACTTTGGGACCATCACCATAACAAATTCTGACAACCTTACCCTAAAAATTAACAACCTGCAATAAAGAGAGTGATTAAAGAACTGCCGAAGTATATGATATTTGAAAATTTAGAGTCAAGTAGTTTTCTTCCAAATTTGAAAGTCAGGTTATGTTAGTCTTATTTTAACTACTGTGTGTTTTTGAGCATTTGTAATTTGTCCATAAAGATCTTTACTGATATAAAACAAACCTCAAAAGAGAAAGAGTTTTTTCTCCCTGCAAATATTTTACAAGGGAGCGATTCACCAATATTTTACTAAGGGTACACCCTTATCTTTGTTCATCACCTATAAATCACTGTCAACTTTGGCATGTAAAGAAACCCCACTTAATCCTTTGTACTATATTGTCTACCTTTACAATCTATCTGAAGAACCATTTATAAAGCTCCAATGTTACTCTTACACAAATAACTCTGCTATGGTGTAAGAAACTTCTGCATGGTAATATCTTGGCTTTTTTCTCTTTGATTTATTATCCTCAGAGTTTGTCTCAATTAATAAATAAAAAATAAGCATTTCTTTGAAACAATCACATTTACCAAAAATACAGTAAAATTTTCAAGGTTTTCAATCTGATATAAACAGATTGAACATAAATAACATTAAATTGAGAGCCATTGTATATGGAACATACTAAATGGGACAGTTGTGCTTATTTAAAAATGGTTTTATAAAAAAAAGTGAGCACAATATCTTTTACCCATTAAATCAGGCAATTATTTTTCAAGCTATATGCGACCTGTAAAAAGCTGCAGATGCTTTAAGGAATCATTAAAATTAATCTGACTCTTAAAACAGCCACTTTGTTTTCAGGTACAGATGACGATCAGAAAAACTATGTAAATAGAAGAGGCAAATACTGTGCTCACATGAAGCCCTAAAAATTCTTCCAAATCATTGCCAAGCATGCATACACCTATCTTCTGATTAAGTCAGTTCATAGACATTCCTATCTCACCTTACATAATAGTATATCTCATTAGAAAACAGCTTTTTATTTATGCACACACATTTCTTCTACTGGTTATTTCATTTCAATATTTATCTTCCTCCTGATTTTAAGGAGTCAATGCGATTAAGATGTTGGGCTTGTTGGCTGGAAAGCCAGGAGTCCAGGTTTGAGAAGCAAAGTGCCCCAGCTCTTTTCAACTTAGCAGTTTGAAAGCACACAAATGTACCACTTTGGTAGGAAAATAACAGCATTCTGTGATGTCATGCTGGCCAAATAACAATGGAAATGTATTCAGAAAGTGCTGGCTCTTTGGCCTTAAAACAGAGGTGAGCACCGCATTGACTACTGCAGGGATCTTCACTTACTTTTTAACCTGATTTTAAGAATGATCAGTAAAAAATTGCACATTTTAAGATGGATACAAATAGAACCAATTACCTAGGAATCTAATAGTTTTCCTTAACTAGTTTTTCAGGCAGCTACTGTATCTGGCACAAATATTTTAATTCTGTACTCTTGCACTGAACAGAGAATTGGTCTCAAAGACCTAAATTGACCCTTTGAATTCCATAATTCTTTATCATATGCACAGCATTTGCCAGAATTAAACATATACAACTTTTCATAAAACCAAGAAATATTGCAACAGTTGTGTTTTCACACTCTTACCTTCATAAATTCATTTTATCCATTCATTTATAACCAGCAAGCAGAAAAATAGAAAAGCAAATAAAGCATCTAAATTTTTATCACCTTATTTTAAAAAGTCAAGTGGCCTTCAGATTCTGCTTGCATTTTTAATACATCACTATCTAATTTTTTTTTAATGGCAGAATTTACATTATAAATTGATCCATACCTGTCACATTGTTGCATTATGGAAATTTCTTTAATTATTTCCTGTAGATCTGATTCAACGGGGACTTGTTTAATTGCTACGACTTGTCCCGATTCCTTATGAATAGCTTTAAAAACACTGCCATAAGACCTGAAAGGGAAATATTAATTTATGCTATTAATAATAAAATCACCATGCCCACTCAAGCCACTGATTGCAA